TATATATATATAAAATTTTTAATACATTTTAATAAAAATATATTTGTAAAAGTTGGAAATTATACACACACACATTTAAAAATAATATTACATTTTAATAAAACAATTTAACCAGGAAAGTGACTAATTTATTTATGTCACAATAGTGGGGCGGAGGGAACGTTATGAATTTTTGGGAAACCCTGCATTATATTTATTTATTTTGCAAATAATTAACTGTATGAATATAGTCTATTCAGTACACAACTACAAAACAACAGGTGTGTGTCAACTTATTCAACCAGTTAGAGGGAAATGTAGATGTACTTTGCGATATCCAAATCAACCCATCTGATGTCGAATTATGACAAATATCTTACCTAGTTTGTAAGTGAGAATGTAGAACATTGTCCATGGCGTTCCTGGCACAGACAAGAGCTTCCTCCACACCTTCCATGGCTGCATCACATCCTTTGACCCTCTCCGTCCTTCTCCCTGTCCCCGCGGAGACTCTCCATCCAACACCGGGGCACCCCACACGAACAGAGCAACACCACCGTACACGCAAGCCAGCAGTGCAAACATCCAGCCCCAGCCTGCAACATCAATCACAGCCAGGAGCCCCCCTCCAGCAAACACAGACCCAGCTTTATAGCCCACCACCTGCACGGTGTTTCCTAGACCCAGCTCCCCCTGACCCCTGAGCAGCCGCACGGCCGCCCCATCTGCCGCAATGTCCTGCACTGATGCCAGCACGTTCATAGCGAGCAGGGAGCCCGCTACACCCATGTACTGAACATCAGGTGAGATGGTAGCGCTCACCAAACAGGTGAGGGCCAGACCAGCCACTGTGCCCACTAACCAGCAGCGCTTGGTACAAGTCCGGTCCACCAGAGGGGCCCAGAGTACCTTGAGCACCCAGGGGAAATAGAGGATTTTGGTGAGGCTGATGTGTGTGAGGGAGTGGCCAGCACCACGCAGGTACACCGGGAGCAAAGACAACTGCAGGCCATACGGAATGCCCTGGATGAAGTAAAGGAGACCCAGGAACACCAGTTTGTCGTTCATCATTGAGAAAGGCGGGTTTTGGGAGCCTCAGCTCATGGCTGTATTCTGTAATCAACACAAGAAGAGTGTTTGACATGGACTTGTCAACATAAGTTAACATAATGGTTTCTATTTAAGACATTTCTATTGAAGACATGACAGCACAGGTGAATAAGGTAAAAATGTTAACTAACAGACAACATCATACTTTCCCAGTTGATTGATTACAGTACATTCAAACTAATTAAATATGCAGACATTTGCATATATTTCAAGAACAGAAATATGAAGACTGGTTAAAGCCAAGTTTTCAAAATCCTCCTTTCATTTTGTTGACATATTAGAGTTAAGGGTTTTTACAGAGGGGATTTGGGATTTTTTTTTCTTCACTCAATGAATCAGGAAATATTGTCAACATCCAGAAACAAATAAAACAATTTTAAAAACTGATAGGAATAAAACGGGAAAGTCTGGTGTATGGAAGTGCTACTGAAGGGAATATTTCTGACAATTTCTTTCTCATGATTTCTGCATCATTTTGAGAAAACGCCTTTTAAAGATATGTATCTTATTTGAAAGCAGACGCAAATAGATAAAGTGTAATAAAATAAACACACATACGTCTTGGATGTTTTCTAGTTTGAAAGACATGTTATGGGAGCAAAATAGACCAAAACCCCTAAATTGACAAGTGCATGGTTTTACCAGTAGTGTCTTACCTCAAAAACAGTGGTTCATTCATTATTGCACGTCATTCATTCATGGCATAAAATAATATCACAGCTGGATATAACTGATAAAACTAATGCAAGTGTCATTAGATATGTCATTAGATATTTTTCATATAACGTTACATTCTGAAAACTACTAGACACTAAAATATAAATAATAGAGAATTAAATATTCAATAACGATTTCATTTATAGTCATAAACTGTCCATTACTGTCACAACATATGCTCGAGGCACTAGAGGGAGACTTACAATTAGGATTAAGAACAACAGAATCCATGTATATAGAAATGTACAAATAAGTACAGCAAATACCTTACTGTATTTACAGGTAAACGTCTCCTTCACCCGCTGTGCTCGATGCAGCACAACCTCGGTTTTCCAAACCTCGGTACTTCCGCGGGAGCGCTTGACGTAACGCACTCTTTCAACCAATCAACATATAGCTCTCCTGAGTGCTCACAGCCACTAAATCAACAGCGCCACCCGTCATTACAGCGGTACTGCAGCGTAGGGCAGGGCCATTGAGTAAGGAATGTTAAGAAATCGGAGAAGGGTCTGGCTGCAGCCTGGCGCTTGCACTCTGACCCCTTGTCCAAATAAATACCCGCACTTGCGGTCTTGGCCACTTGAGAGCGCGTGCGCGCGACAGGAAGTAAGTGTGCAAGACTGTCCCAGGTCTTAACAGTGCCCTTAACGCACACTAAACCCACACTATCTCGAATACCGCTCCGGAGCGCTATTCGAGGCTTAGTGTATCCCATCATGCATCATGTTCTGGAAATAAATCGTGAGACTTTTTGCCGAGATCTCGCGAGAGGTCACGGAAAACTTTCCAGTGCAAGTTAAATATTAATATAATAATTAGATATTACATATAATTTGGTAGAAAAACACTGTTTTTACGTTTTATTGGTGCAAAGATGAGTAGTGGTGATATTTATTTTGTTTTTTTCTTGTCTTCACCACCTGGCTACTGTTGTAAAATGTTGAGAGATTCAAACAAAAAGTAATTAATAAATAGAACAAAATAAAAAAATTAAAAAGACTGCAAGTGACGTCGCTAGCGGAAGTGCAAGTGTCTGAGAGTGCAAGCCTGAGAATGCAAGTCTGAGAGTGCAAGCGCCAGCCAGACCCTTTTGAGAAATCGCGCCCTCTCTCTTTCTCAAACTTTATCTCTTCTCCTACCACTCCCATTGTTCCAGACGAACATGTTTCTGACACACAGTCTAAGTCGTAATTTGTCTTTTGTCATCAATTCTTTACGGTAATAGTTTCTATATACAGCAGATTTTAGTTTATAAACCCTCTTGCATGTTTTTTTTTTTTTTTTAATGAGCTATCAAAGGATTTCCTTGATAAATATAAAGGCATCTTTATCCAAAAGAAATATAGCTTTTACTTGAATCAAATGGTAATTATGATACCACAAAATTAAAAGATTTTTGAGGACCAGTTGTGATTCTTCGGATTGCCACACTTTGCAGAACCTTCTGGACTCTGGAGCACCCTTTAAAGGCACCTTGAAAACTTGAGTTGGTTTATAAATTAGAGCCTGCAAAAACAATGCAAGTGTTTTTTTTTTGTAACTTGAGTCAGACTTGATTTTCTATCCCTGATTCCAACCAGTACAACTCTTAGTGACTATTTGTGCTTATGTGATCCCCTTCATATCTACGTCATTAAACTCCCATTTTGTGCATGTTTTGGTTTGTTTTTCAGTCAACACGACTTTAAAAATTAATAGATACACCATACCACAACACACCACTTTAGAAGCTTTGCATGAATTTACAAAGACATACATTTAGTCAAGTTTTTATTTATTAATGTTTTTCATTCTACTACAATTGTTTATATGGGGGTGTATAATTCATATAGCTGGTGGGTCTTCATCTGTATACATTCATTTTTTACACTAATTAATTGCCACACAAGGCTAGCAGGATCGTCTCATAGTCTCCTTTGGTGTCATCCTAAAACAAACACAAAACAATCTTTAACAACTGAATCTATACAGCATAACCCTAATTAATTTGTGTTCATGTATTGAAGAGTATAATGATGATGATGATGATGATATTGAAAATTTGCCAACTGAGATTTACCTGGATGTCCTGGTAGAGGCTCTTGCCAAACTTATTCTGGTACTCTTGCTTGATTTTGGCCAAGTCAATCTCAGAGCGGCTCACCAATATTCTGGTCAAGATCTGGCCTCTATAACCAGAGCCCTGTGAAAACAAAGTCACACTCAGTGGTTCTTTTAGTTTTTAATTCATATATATTTATACTTAAAACAGTTTTTTTTGTTTTTGTTTTTTAAATCGTTTTCAATTTTAAATGGATCCACTAGATTGCCATTTACCTTTGTTGCCTGATTTAGTTTTTCAACAAAGAAAGCAGATTTGTTTCCAGCACATTTCACTGTTGAAAAGATAAGTCACAGTGATAAGAAAAGATTAAAATATTTATTTTGGAAATGTCATGCAAAAGCCATCTTCTGTTTCATTGCTCATAGCTTAAAATAACATTCTTGTCATATTATTGCATACAGTAAAAAGAAACATTAAAATAGCATTCTTGTCATACTGTAAGAAAGTAATTCAAGTCTTAAAAGGTATGGTACATCTAAGAGGATCTGCGGCAATTCAAAGAACATTTTTCAGTGAACTTATTGCATGCCATTCCATTTTAAAATACAGTACGTAATGCTATGGACAGATATGAAGGTTTAAGTGTCTCACCAACAGCAGTCAAGCAGTTCTCAATATCACCCTTCAACTCCAGATCAATGGCTTTTGCGACATCCGCTTTACTGTACTTGGAGTACAGCTGAAAAACTAAATATAAAGAAAAAAATGACATTATCATCATCACTAAGGTGGATTTTGAAAACAGGGAGGTGGAGGAAGTCAACCATACCTCTTCTCAGGTGACAAGCATTCCGTGAAGTGAGGATGTCAATGAACACGCCACAGTCTGTGCCTTTTCTTTTCTCTCCTGCCTCATACAAGGCCTACAGGCAGAATCAGAGGTCAAAAGACAAGTACCGACAAAGACCAACCACATATACACAATAAATCGTTTAATTACCCTGGCATCTTTGTCAGCCAAGTCCTCTTGCACAACCTTGTCTTCACTTCTGGTAGCCTGTGAATTCAAATAAAAAGTTTAACAACGAGCAAAAGCACTTTGTGCCAATTCAAGTCACAATTCACTCTCCTAGTAAGTTGCAGAATCAGATGTGTTAAAAATCCAAAACATGCAGTAATGGGAGGGGCAGAATTGAGAAACACTATAAGAGCAAAGGCAACCTTGCAGAGAGAAAGCAGGGCATTCCTGAAGTCTCCACTTGTCTCAGACTTGATCTCCGCCTCTAGATCCTTCTTATATTCTAGAAATAGAAGTCATACATTCAATTTTCATATATACTGCATTCACATACCATAAACCACGAGTGTCTCTTGGGGGGCCACTGTACTGCAGAGTTTAGCTCCAACCCTAATTAAACACACCTAAACCAGCTAAGCAAGATCTTCAGGATTACTAGAAACTTCCAGGCAGGTGTGTTGAAGCACGTTGGGGCTAAACTCTGCAGGCTGTTGGCCCTACAAGAGCGGGATTGAACACTCATGTCATAAACGTATTTAAAGGATAACTGGATGATAACTAGCAATATTGTTACCTTGTTTGAAAACCTGTTTAATCTCTCGGATCTCTTTATTGGTCCTGGAGGCCAAAATCTCGACAAGTGTATCTTCATCTGTGCCCATACCCTGAAGAGAAAAAGACTAAGTTATACTGCCCATGTCAAATCTTGTGTGTAAGAAGACATGCAGGTCAAGTGGTTGTCTATTAAAATATCCACCAGATGTGGAGTAAAAACATGAAGTTTATCTCTATCCACAGTCTGAAAATAATGTTACCTTCATGGCACCTTTGAGCAGAAAGGAATCATACTGAGCTGGAGTCATCAACAGGCTTAGAACCACTTCTTCCAGCTCACCTTTAAGAGCAGCTTTCAAGGCTACATCCAGAGGCTGCACAGAGGAGAAGTGATTTAGGTGAGGGAGGATCTAGACAGCAAAAATGTGTTGATTTCAGGTCCAGTGAATGTGATACCTTGCCGGATGCTTGCTGGTAAGCAGCCTTGATTTGCTGGCGCTGGGCATTGCTCCTGCGTACCAGCGTTTCAATGATTGTGACCTCATCCACACCTGAGAACAAAAACTTCCGTCAACAGAGCAAACAGATGCAGAATGCAAAGATGTAGATGTATTTTATTCATCTTCACTTTTCAAGATTCATATACCAACCTTTTGCCTTAATAGCCTTGTCCAAGACGCCTGCATCCGCAGCTGCATTAAACTGAGCAAAGGGCTTCACTGTGCCCTGCCCATCCTAAAGGCATGAGAGACACTTATGAAAATCCTTTAAAAATAGCCTATGTAAAATTACATGACTTACAGCAGACCAGTCTAAGAAGTCTATTCAATAAAAAAAATTCAAGAAGCGAACTTTAGGAAGGAAACACCGAAATATTGATGCTCTTTCCCTTTAACAGGATGAAAGTGGCTAAAATAGGGAGTGCAGTACATTCCTATCGCTGAGTCATTCAGTCTGGTGCTGCTCAAACTTTCCAGAAAATCGAAGAAACTTACGTCTTGTACGGTGTTGTCTTGCATGCCCTGATAGGCAAGCTGCTCAAGAAAAGCACTGACGAAGGACATTTTGGCACCTGAAACTCAACAGCTAAACCTACAGTAAAATGTTGGAATGTGTTAAAACACATACAATTTTCCCAAAAAGCAGAATCCTTAAAAAAAAAACAAAAAAAAAAAAAACACAGAATTATAGTTTTCAGGAATTAATCATCTACGTTTTCTAAAAGTTTTAATGAATCTTACAGGACGCACATGATTCACCAAAAGAACAGAACATTAAAGTCTGGCATGCATCAGTCACACATCCAAATACTGAAAACAACAGAACAATTCACAAAACCAGGATGTGGCATTTTATAGCTCAAAGTGTGCAAAGTTTTTAATAACTTCTTTAAGCAACACTATTGCACAACTTTGTTGCATAACTTTCATTAGCAATTGTTTTGGTTTTTTCATTTTTTATTCTCATTTGAATCTTATTTTTCAGCAAACAACAACAACGCTATCATAAATACGTATATTAAAAAACAAAACAAAAATGAAAACACTATCGGGAGATAGACAACGTGTGTAAGAAGTAAAGAAAATCCCAGTTTCTCACTTACCAAGACCGATTGCACAGCAAGCGAGCAGGAGGAGAGTGTTCAGCTGTATTTATACTCAGAGAACCACACCTAGCAACATATGCTTAACTGTTGCGTTAGAGCTGGGCGTCGACACGGACAGTCTGCTGCTTTCCTCCTTCCCAATAGTTTTAG